CCCCAAAACCCCAAAACCCCAAAACCCCAAAACCCCTCAGGGCTTTATAAATATTGAAATGAATTCAATTAGAAAGAGTACCAAGAGTAAGCAATGACTCTTAAGTTGGTAGAAAGTCATCATAAGAGCTCACGATCGAGTGTGAAGTTGAAGCTCAAGGAATATGGACATGATTCCTTTGAGGAATCACTTGATGGTAAATTGGGTGGTGAAGGGATATAGTTAATTCTATGAAGAAACAAATACTTCCTGAGATTAATAGAAGCAAACATAATAATAGCTATGTCGATCAGAATAGCAAGGCTAGCATTATTAATCCGCTAATCAACAGGACATTGGAGGAAAAAGAAGAATATATGAAGCAGAGGATGAAAGTAATTTTATTGGTTTTACTTAAGGTTGTTGAGAATAAAAGAAAATAAGCAAATCAAAGGTAAATTGATTATTATTTTATGATAGTTAATTTTGATCTCAACCAGAAATTAATATCAATGCAAGAGGAGAAAGAAAAATTATTGATGAAGGTATTCAAATTCTTATGAGATAGTTAAAATAAATCAACTGGAAAAGATGTTAGTCCTCCCAAACAGACTACTTCAATCGACGAAACAAAATACAAAGAGGAGATGAAGGTAATATTTTGCTTTAAAATTAGAAATTACAAAATACTATCACCGAATTTAAATAAAAAGCTAAAATTTCAGAAAAAGTTAGTTAATCTCTCACAAACAGTATCGAGACAAAACTAAAGCAAGAAAAGGACCAAATCACCAAATACAAGGACCTCCAAATCCAAAAACTCCAGCAGTAAGCCTCCTCTGACCCCTAGAAAGCACCTACAAACCATTACCTCCAAGGACAAATTAATCCACAAACTAAGTACTCTTTCTCTAACCTTCCAGAATCACAACTTGCTCAGTTAAAATCTAGCCCAAAAGCCCCAGTTAAGCAGCTTACTTCTAAAGAAGACTCCCAGTCAGTCTCTTCATACCAGAACAGTTATTTTAGGGAGTCTGTGCCTGGAGAACTTGCTGAAGGAGTCTGACCTGATTGAGCAATGACCCCTAATACAGAAGAAGTTATAGCTACTTTGAATCAGCAACTTCAGGAGTACAAGGACAGAGTTATAGAAGAGAGTAAGGAGACTGAACGGCTGTGAGCTATTGCGTTATGTGTAGAAGGAGGATTGTTGATAAATGAAGGGCTGAGATAGATCATTTGAATATGATTGATCAAAGTATTAAATTAGAAGTAGAAGCCTTAAAAGCCCAGAAAGAAGAAATTCTTGTTGAGAATCTAACAATTAAGAAGTTAGCTAAAAAGGTTTTAGGTGATAAAGAAGGTATATACTCTTTAAAAAATTAGATTCAGAACAATTTGATTTTACAAAAGAGCAAGAGAAGGTAAATGAGCTTGTAATGGCTACTAAAAAGAAGAAGTAAGCAACGCTTTACCCTTAGTGAAACTTTGTCAAAAGAAAATGAAATTCTGACTAAGAGATTGAAAGACCTTGAACAGACCAAATCAGCAACATCTTCAAAAATAGGTAATGTCTTGAGTTTATTGAGGTAGACGAATTAATTAGAGAGAATGACATTAATATTGAGAAGGTCAGCAGGCTTGAACTAGAGCTGCATCATAGGAAATAGGAAGCCGAATTTGTAGAGGAATACCTTTGAGTGGAGTGATTTTCAATAAGTTCAGATGAAAAAGGGGTTTTGGGGTTTTGGGGTTTTGGGG